CCTTCACTCGAGAGACTTGGCTCCCGCCCTGCCAAGATGATTTGTACCTGGGAAGCAAACCACTTTATTTTTCCCCGAAGCATCCATTAATTTTGCTTGCGTGCGCTCGCTTTGGGCGGACTTTAAGATTTCGAGCGTGTCGATCGTCGATCTCGTCTTACGCTTGGCGCGCTTTTCAAAATCAGCAAAAAATTTTATAAACTCCGCCTCACGGGGCATGATTCAGCTGTTATCGATCGACATAATAACGTTAAAAGTCAAAAGGACTCTGATCCTATCATATACATCACAAAAGTGAGGTGACGCTATTATGTGTTTTTCCAAGGCAGCGCCTAATCTCCATTTCCAAATCGCTTAAATCTGTTGGCTTAAATCTCATCCCCTTCGCGTAACCGACTTGCCACTAACTTTTGCTTCTCACCTCAGCATCCTTGTCTCGACTCCAGCCAAAAGAAGCATCAGAGAACGAGCGAGAAAGAGAGTGGAGCGGAAAAAAGGAAGATAGTTTGGATTACAGGCAAAATACGTCTGAACCAAATCCTTTCATCCCTTAATACTAGCCACCAAGAAGCGGGCGCCACAGAAGAAAGAAAGATTTGAGGAGGGGAAAAAGATGATGGCATTGCCGATGCTGGAATACGAGGATTGATGTAGCTGTGACCCGAAAATTACGACGTTTAAGAAATAATTTCTTCAGCATTCTTCTTTCTCTTATTTCTAAGCTACTTGAATACATAAGGGAAACAAAGAACAAAAACGTTACTCGACCAAACCAGTTGAAATCTGGCAATTGGTTTACCTTCTCTTATCGCTAGTAGTTTTTTAGAACGCCAGCAAGCGAACAAAAGAATCTGGAATCAAGCTACGACGAATTATATGCTGCTAATCCAATCGCTATTGTAATACAAAACTAAAAGTTTCCTTTTCACAAGGGAAAATGATCTACTCGCTCGTTCAAGATAAAATTAATGCGTTTTGCAAACATTGCATTGGAGTGAATTGATTTGTGTCACACCGGAATCGCTTCTGAAAGCTTTAAATGCTTAAAAATCGCTTGACGACCACGCATAGGTTCGGTAATTGGCCGAAAGTAAACGCGCGCAATTCAAGCTCGCAGCAAAGCCGACGCATCGACAATCGAGCGTAATGCAAATGGCAGAAGCTGGTTCGCCGAAAGGCCATTATAAAACGCAGCCCAGAGTGTAACAATCGGGCGAAACGATCGGCCGATAAACACACCACTTGGCGAAACAATTGGGAGCTCGCGCGGGGCCAAGAACGCGCGCGCGCGCTTAACGGCAAACAAAACAAATGGCAAGCCCACCTCGGCCATTACAAGCGTAGCACATTGAGGGGCAGAGAGAACGTCGGGCTTTACCGCTAGCGCGCATACATCATGCGCAACATTGCATTTTGGGAATCGGCTCGCGCTGCCGGAATCTGTAGAATGCGTGCGTGTTGTTCTCCCGCGCGCTCCCTCCCACTGGCGGTGAGCCAATGCCAGTACCATACCGCATTAATAGAGTTTTATTGTTATTTACCGGGCGCGTCGAGGACCGCGCGTGTACCGCTGCTACCGTGGACAATGCTCTCCTCTGCCTGTGTGTGTGCGCGCTCGCCGCGACGATCCCCTCGCGAGTCTTTTTCCGCATTTACGACTCGGACCTGTAATTGTTTAGTGCTGCTTAGCAGCAGTCCAAGTGGTTTTCTCCTCTGGGCTTGATGGTCAAGTAGAATAACGCTTAGCCAGCACAAGGATTCGCAGGCATTACTTCCATTTGTTTCTGCCAGTGACTTTATTATTTGAGGATTAACTGTGTGTGTGGGTGTGTGCGTGCGCGTTGCTCTCTCTCTCTCTCTCTCTCTCTCTCTCTCTCTCTCTCTCTCTTTCGTTCTCTCACTTCTGTTGCTTTTCAACAGCTTTTTTGACGGTACGACATAGCAAGCATGTTTCGCCATAATTCTATTTGGATTCATGAAAGTCGAATGCGCATGGAAGACTTATGCGTCTGACCACACTCTGCTCGCACTACTTGTTTGGAAACCGTATTCCAGCTCTGTGGCAGTTATTTATATTTACTCATGCGTGCAGAAGCGCGTGCTATATTAAATTCTTACCCGCGACCTCGGGCTATTCTATTATTTCGAGCGAGTTAAAATGATAGCACGTAAATTCGAAACGAAGCTATACATTGCGGCGCAAACTGTTTCATACCCCAGCAGCTCTCCTATCTCTGCATGACTCAAGCTTATTACGTAATCGTTCTAATTTGTTTAGATCCGAACTGATTTCGCATGAACAATATCTCCGTCGTTAACGACCGCGCGCACGCGGGCGCGGGCTCGCTTTTATACTACATTATACCCGTACGCACTGATCGCGCGACGTTTTACTAGCCAATTTATCATAGGCTCGGCTCCAGAATTATTATGCGCGCGGCGCTCTGGTGTGCAATTTAACGCGCCGATAAAACTCGGCGAAATCCAAACGATGATGCATCGCGATTTCCTTGTCTTCGCCGTAAACACGCTCTCAAGCCCGAAGCTGCGTCTTTGTCGCTATTAACGCTACGGAATTACGAGGTGCGCGTAACCTCGAACCCTCCTATGTTCCATATAGAAAATTGAGAAAGATCCCGCCTGCTCTATAAGCTGCCGTGCGTATACATCAGAAAGTACGAACACTTAAGCGATACTTTATTCCCTAGTGTATTTCTCATTGTGGTACGTGTACATTATCAATTTGAACTTCAAGTAATAAAGCCGATAGTAATCATCATTTTGAGAAACACTTAAAGTTTATGAAACTTACAACCTGTAACATTTAAATTATTTTTGAGAAGAGAATAAAGAGCAAATAAAAATGCCACAAAAGCATACAACTTTATGTAATTGATGATTTACTTAATAACAATATTGTAACGGTACTTTTTGCAGCCTATGGTCGGTGAACCATTTAACTCTACATTAATATGAATTTTACTGCTTACATCGTAGATGTGACCAGTTCTAATGAAATATAACGATTCTGAATATGCAAACTAAAGAATCGTAAATAATTTCTAATAAGGCAGCGTACTCGTGAACAATGTTACCTATCTGAAAGCACGTGACGACGGAGAGAAGAACGTACGATGGCTCGTTGCCTGGGGCTCTTGAAGATTTTACTCTCTTTAAACTACGTCGTAAATATTTGGACTTCGCACTCGAAGTTATCAGTTTTTCGTAGATAATCATTTCGTTGGAGCTCTGAGTTTAGGAAACGAACGATGGTGTTGCGATACACGTGGTCATTATTGACTATACCGGGACTGTACGGAGGTTATTGAATCCATGCGATACTGTGTTTACTCAGAAACTGCTGCACAAGATTCGATGCATGTTCCGACGAATTATGATGGAGACGTCATCACCACTTGACCAAAAATGCGGTCGTTTTATTCTGACTGCTTCACTCAAACGTTTCAAAATTTGAACATAATATTCTTTATTGATTGTCTAGCCTGCCCGCTCAATATTATCCAATGCTTTTGTCATCGAAAGTCTGCCAGAACAAGAATCGCTATCAGCAGAAGTACAGCATTCTTTGAAATGATTATATCACTCTTTTATTCATATTTTGCTCATGCACTTTCAAAGGTCTTCTGTATCATCTGAATAGTTTCCGAACTTATTTTTTCGAGTAGAAAACAAAATTTGATGCAAATTCGTTAAACTTGTGTTTAACAATTACAAAATCGGCCGAACTTAAAAATAACTTTGTAAACAAAGAAACGCTGCACATGAACTATACGTCCGGCAGATGTCAGCAAACAACCAATAGATTCGTGATTAGTCTCGTAAGAATTTACTGTTAACGTTCATGCCTCGCAGAGGTCGCTCGAACACTGTGACACGAAGATATAAAGGTAGGCCCGATACTTTCCGGATAGACCTTGTACAGATATACAATAACTCACAAGTATGAAATAATTTAATACACTGGCATAACTTATCTACACCTTCGAAAATATAAAAAAAAACTTTAAAGAATAGATAGTTTATTAACTTTGATATCATTTTATTAGAGAAGTTGTACACGATAGAAACAAAATATGTTCGTTATTTGAGTTTTACTTCCTTCTAATCTACTTATCAATTTTTGTAAATATTATAATTCTGATAATATAATAGTTAATAGATAAATTATATTTTCTGATAATATAATAAAAGCACGTAGTTACAAGCTAATAATAATCATTCTGTTAAAAAAGCAATTAATAGTTTTGTTGAAGAAATCATTTAACGGAATGTTCTCGAAACGATATATGAATAAAATAAATGATAATATTTTTCTACCTTTGACAAATTTTGGACTGTTAAAATATATTGTATAAGAATATTCATCAATTCTAAATTAAATATCAAAAGATTTTATCACATTGATTTTTCTTGCCAATTATGATTTTGTTCCTTTAGCCTATAGAACAAAAAGATACATCGGAACAGACTGTGAAAAATAAATCGAATTTTTCCTCAATATTCTTTACTACCTAAGGTATCTAAAGGCATATTGTGAAAAACAAATACAAAACAAAGTATTAAATTGAAATGGTAAATATTGATAATTGATTGAGAAAATAATAAATAGATATATGATATATTTTTAAATTATTCTTAATAAATCGAGAGAAAACCTTATTTTTTTGTAAATTTAATTAAAAATTATTAATACTCTATTTTTTACTTCTACCCTCACTTTAATAAATGGTTCCTTTATTTTTAAAGTCATGTTTTGCATTTGAAATCTAAAAATAAAATTCATTTATATTTAAAAATTAACTTTAGCGTAATTCTTTATAAATAAAAGTTCGTTTACCATTATTATGATTATTCATAAAATTTCCAAGCTATAAACTCTTGAATTATATAAATTGTTTTGATTACAGTAAACGCATTGTTCAAGAGTTAGTTGACTTTGAAGAGGGACTTTAATTTTTAAAATCTTGGATATAAAGCTGCATAGGTTTCTAAAAAGGTTTATGAATTAAAATTGAAAAATATATCTTTGTATTTTTTATAAAGAATATTTTCACAAAGTTTCATCAAAATTGATCCCGTAATTCTAGTAGTCTTTTTGTAAGTTTACTAAAAGTAGATTTATAAAATTATTGTTTACAGTGTCGGTGGTCTCGTTCCATCAATCCCCAAACCAAAAGGCTCTTTATCAGCAGTACGCAGAAAATACGATCCCCTTTCCTTCTTCTGTTTTGTCGACCAGCTTGGAAATGAAATAATTGCCTCATTTTTGCACTCATTTGTGAGGAACGTATCATAATCTTTACAACGCACTGCCAACAGAGAGTTAGGTTTGGTCAAAGCCTCAGCGTAATAAATATATGCACGATCATGGGCACAATAGTGGTTAGTATCCTCGCCGCAACCTGGTTGTTCAAGACCCCCACCGTTAGGATAGAAGTCGGCGTGGCCTACAGGCTCTGACAAGCCCAGGTGACCCGCGTTCGTATGGATTATCTCGACCATAGTGGCATCGCTGCTGGAAATGCCGTTACCGGGGCCTGCAGATTTAAAGCCTGGTCCAGCGGGATCGAGACCTGATAGTAAAATGTCTAACTTCAAATGACTCCATAAAATCTTTTTTTTGTTTAACAATATTATAAACATAAAATAATGAGAACATGATAAGATGAAAATCCTAGAATCACGTAATGATAATAGATAATCAACTAATTATGCTAACAAAGCTTAGTTCATAATGAGTTTTTCGGCTGATTTTATTAAACAGAAAAATAAATTGTTGTGGAACTCTACTTTGAAAGTACAATTTTAGTAGAAGTACACACTTAACCTGTACTCATTTTACCTGTCATGTTAGTTATCAAAATACGTATAACAACATAAAAGCTAATCTTAAAATAAATAACGGACTACATAGTTTACATATGTACTTTTTAAATCATAAAAGCATATGTTAATCTAAATATCAACTTATTATCAGGCCAATACAATTCTTAACAAAGTAATTCAAGAACTTTGATTATATATAAGCTTTTGCTTAGTTTATCATTGAGTTATCTGTAAAAATAAAAATGTTCAGATATATCTATTCTACAATTCCGTTTAAAATTCGCCGCCCGATTGGTTATGCATCAGAATTCGAACGAAGCGCAGAGGTGAAAAATGTTTTCAAACTGACCGACTACGTGGCCAATTTTATTGCTCGCCTGGTATCCAGCTAATCCCATCACGTGCGCCCCCAGCGAATGGCCGACCAGAGACATATCACTCAAACTGCTACCTTGACTCGCTAAAATGTCGATCATTTTTGCTATATGTGCACCTACTGCTTTAATTAAACCAGCAGCTTCCAAATACGGTAGTTTAGCTACATTTGCCCAATCAACGACAATTACATTATAATCATCGTGAGACAGAAAAGCTGGAATAAGAACAGATATTTTGAACATTAGCTAATGAATTCAATAAAGAATGTAAAATACAAATAATTAAACAAATGTTTTATCCAACCATTTTTAACTGTCATGCAATTTCGTCCTTGGTAAGAATTCAGCCAACCATGCGTCATAAATTTTGTTGCCCTACTGGACTTATATAAACTCTTGTCAATACTATTTTTATCGTCGACCCATAATTGTTCTGGATTGTTTAGATTTTCTCGTGTATATAGAAAAAAACACACATCATCGCGTAAATCAACTTTGGAATCGTTGAAAATTATTTTGAAATTGTACTCATATTTAGGTGCTGACATTGAAAATCGTGCTATGAATAATAATAATAATACTTAAATATCAGTATGTGGATAACACAACATTTTCACTTATAAACTATATGCCACTTACTAGAAAAGTACAACACTAGAAATGAAAGAATAATGCTTATATTTTCCATAGTTCTATTTAGAGCACGAGACTGACGTTAAAAATGTCGTTTACTGAATGTTTCCTCTCAAGTTAAACCTCTGCAGACATTGATATGCAGACACTGATAATGAATATCTGTCAATAATCTTATCACGGATGACTCAAAAATATTGTAGCCACAAGCTCGGGAATATTGACAAAGCGATTGTGCTTACTCATCCCAGATATTGTTGAATCACATATTCCGTAGCTAGTTACATTGTAACATAAACATTTTCGATTATTTACTTACAATTGTTATTTAAACGCAATTATTTTAAATAATTGACTTGCTTCAATCTTCCGATTCAATTATATTCAATTATGTCTGGAATAGTACTATGAAAATAGACAGTCATGAAGAATCAAGCTAATCAATCAGAATTTAGTTGAGCAAGCGCAACGTATCAAGCTTCTACGGTGTGATCTTATTAACCTAGGAATGTTATCAATGCAGACATTGATAGTGAGTATCCTTCAATAATCTTATCACAGAATGCTTAAAAAAATTTAGCAACAAACTCGAGATCAGTGATAAAGTGATTATGCTAACTCGTCCAAAATATTATTATCATGTGAATATTTTTTATTATATTTATTTAATTACCATTCTTATTCAGGCAAAACTATTATATATAATTTACTAGTTTTAACTATCCGTAACAATTATGTTCGAAACAGTATTATAAAAATAAACAGTCACGTAGAATCAAGTAAATCAATCAGAATTTAACTGAACCAGCGGAATAGCATTAGTTTTCTCGTCAACCTAGGAATGTTACCCAGCATAGCTCGCAAATCCTGATTAACTTGTTAGGTCTTCATCTTCGTGCTCTCGTCGTTTTGAATTGAATTGGGGTTTGTCTGCATCAAGAAGAGAGCGAGAATTATCATGGTCTCTGTATAAGTTTCCTTCGTATTTATCTTTCGTTCCCGAAAATTACAGTTTACCTTAAGTAAAGTTAGAGCATTTTCTTTTATTATTCTTATGGAGCCGTTATTATCGCTGAATATCAGTATGAAAAAAATTACATTCATATTTCATTAATAGAATCATTAGGTTGCTCTTTTAAATTAATTATAAAAACAATACAATATTTCAACAACGTAGTCTCCAAATATTAATGCTTTGTGCAACATGAATTCTTCGAAGTTCTAAAAGTTCAAGTTAACACAACACGATATATAAACTCGTGATATAAATATATCGAAAGTACTAGTCCTTTACTGCATAGTAACTGACTATAACTCACAAGAGCCTTGTTGTAATCTTCCGGCTTGGCATGTTTTGATTACCATCCTCGTCAACTTGTCACTATGTCTTAGGGAGTATTGGCGAGTGCTGTCATCATCAAATATTTGTACAAAGTATAGACAAAAGATAATATAAATAATGTACAATCTCCAAAGCCAGAAAATGTTTTTTATAAATCAACAATAATTGATTCTCAAACTACCAAGATAACTGTAATTTCAACGCACTCTCAAAGCAATTGACACCCATCATTTATGATAATCAGAGTTATTATTCGAAATGTTTTAACTTTCACATAACCTTTTCTTTACAGAATATCGACTCCATTTCAAGTAGCGGCTGCAGCGCTGATCCTCGCCGGGACAATATCCGCCCTGATCGGTCATTGTTGCTCGGATCACAGGACCCTCGTCGCTTGTGGTCTTTACCTCCTTGGCGGTGAGTCTAGAGCACCTGATCCTCAAGCACGCGTGGGTGTATGTATATGGGAAGAAGCCCTTTGAGAGATAGGGGAAAAAAATAAAGGCGCGATCGTGATAGCCATATAGAAGAGTCGCAAGCCGCTTTGCACGTACACAGGGTACAAGTTTTTCGATCTCACAGCGCGCACCTTTCGCTTTTATTTTGGTAGCTTCTGCTTGGAAACGCCGACACTTGGTAAAACTTCCATTCGACAGGCGATACATTAAATATTTTTTTTATATTTAAAAAAGGTGTTTATTAAGAAAAACTACACAGTAACTTTAGTAAGATTGGTGAAGAACGATGTACTTTTTATATGAGCTTACAATTTTTATCTTCTATATAATTTAATTGTTTGTTATTACTTAAAATGTATTGCATTTTCAAAGTATTTTTAATAACATATTCGTCAATAACAGAAACAATATACAGTTTATTGAATCACTGCTAGAAATAAAATCTCCGCACTAAAAAGATTTTTTCTTCTATTGTAACTAAACAATGTTGAAAAAATATATCAATTTAATCTCGAACGTACGCATGTTTTCAATAAAGTTTGCTGTCAATAGAACAGTAATGAAATTGCTCGTACGAGAGAGAGAGAGAGAGATAGAAAGAGAGAGAGAGAGGGGGGGGGGAGAGAGAAAGTTTACTAAAATCATTTAATCCGGACTAACGAACCGTGGTCGCTTTCCACGTGGATACAACCGTGAACGCGTGAAAAATCATTGGACGTTCGTCGACCATTTTCGTCGACGCAACGCGGCAAAATGAGAAACGCTTTGGTCGACACGCAGGAGCTACAGAGTGAAACGAAAAATTGTCCTAAAAGCCAGGGTGGCATTTATCGGCCGATCACGTAGCCTCGTCGACGACCCGCATAGTAGTCGCGCTGAAGAGGCGACGAGATGTACGACGACGACGAGACAACGACAATGGCGATCCTTGATCTTGACGCGGGCTCAAGCAGTGTTATAAATGTGAACGTGCGTGAAGCCACGAATCGAATGTCGCATGGCGTAGACGCTTTCTGTATGGAGTGCCGTGCACTGCAGTTGCAAAAGCTTTCAAAAGAGCTCTATTTCATTATTCTTTTATTGGGCGTATCGCTTGTTTTGCAATTTGGCAGTGAGTCGACTTGAAACACACTCTCGTTGAGCTTGATTTCCGTGAAAAATACAAACAAAACATTGATTCACATCAATGATCAATATTATTTCAACGTACATTTCAGTGAGTCAATAATACTTCTGCATGATTAATGCATCAGTAAACAGCGAAAATAGTACATTTTCAACCACCCATTCAACTCTCGTTACGTTCAACACTTTTCTGTAACCGAACATGTTCTCACTTACATTACAAAAGTTAATTGTCGCATTTGATGCAAAGTTTAATATTATTTCAAGTGCCGACCTTTGAACGCGATACGTTCAAACAAGCGCTACGTCAACCGCAGACGCGTGCAAAGAGCAACTCCTCCCCTGAGCTTTTCGCGGCTGACCGGCCAAGATCACGCTGCCAATTCCGGCGCAGCAAATTGCTGATTTACAAATGATGCTCGCCTAATTAATGAGTCCACTGGGACGATGTTTAACTTTGACATGATACACCTTTCTCTGAAATAAACGTAATTGTTGTGATTTTTTTAATTTGATTTATTTCGTACTTCAATTTCACAATTATCTATTTACATACAGAAGCATTAACATTTTTGAAAAAGATGTTGAAAATGATTTGAAAAACAATTTTAAAAGATGTTTAAAAGATTTACTACAAAGTCAAAACTCCATTAGAAATATGGTACATGATCTAAAAACGAGGCAAGTTTTTTCGGTCGTCGAAATAAATTATCTCACCCTATACTAGCATATTTTGTACTAACAATCTCCGATATTTTAGCAAAAGAATAAAAATACAAAATTAAATTAATCAATGATGAAAAAAATCATATAAGTAAGATACGGCTAAAGATTTTATCAACCGATTAGCTGAAAGGCGTATCTCTTTTCAATTTCTTGGTTGTTCCTTTCTTCGTCAGGTCAGCTTACTCTTCTCCATAATTTTCTTCTACCGTTCGTCACAGTGGGAAGCCTCAAGAAAGTAATCGAGGGGTTACCGGAATGATCAATCGCGCGCCTCTCAGACGTTACCCTAACTTTTACTGCAGCCAGCAAGAAAATATTAAAAATTAGCCTCAGGCTGATATTCTGCAATTAACTTTAGAATCTACTCATTAGTCTTAGAAATTGGCGACAATAACGTCGTGGTTCAAATACCATCAGAATCACAAATTAGTCTTGTGAAATTGGTTAAATAATTCAAGTCGTATTAAACATATTCTGGCAATATCATGGGTGACTGCAATCAAGTGATTCAACTCGTTGAACGCCCAAGTATAGATCGTTTACTGTTTCGACAAACCGACGAACTGCAGCTTTGAAAAATATAAGTAAATGGTGTCTGGCCTCTTACGACTGGCTGAATATATAAGTATATTCACGCGTCCCATCTTCTTGTAAAAAAAAATGTCTGCGATTCAATTCTGCGTGAAAAGATCGCTCTAACGAGGCTCTTTTCCTTGATTTTGCAGCAAAGAAAAACTCATCGTATACCGTCCAGTGTGCTTTTCGTTATTTGGTCGGTCTTATTTATTAACGTCTACAGAATTCCTGGACTGAATGTTGGCACGAATTTTATTGACCTCATTAAGAGAGTAATTGCTTCCTGCTTTCGGGAGCAGCATTGATATTGCCGATTACTTTGGCGTTGCATAATTCTTCGCATGGCTCTGGCGAATTTATACTCGGCATTTACTGTACTCGGTGGCTACCGATAAAAAGGGTATTACCCGAATATATTGCTTTGGATATACATATATATTTTTGAACTTACAACGTATAAGAACTTGTTTTATCTACAGTTGCGCTCGTAAGATCGAAATTATACAAATTCACGACAGCAGTATATATTTAACTAGGCAACCAATGAAATACAATTTAATCTTGTGGGCAAAAGTATTTTTGCATCAGGGAGCCCTAGCAAATTGTTATCTGACGTAAATAGATGTATACGAGGTCTGTCCGGAAAGTATCGGGCCTACCTTTATATTTTCGTGCTAGCGTTATTCTTTATCATCTGGTGAGTGGCATCCTTCAAAGTAATCCCCACTTCATTGAATAACACGGTTCCATTGATGTTTCCACTTTTCAAAACAGTCCTGGAACTCACTTTTAGGGATAGCCTTAAGTACACTCGTCGCATTGTTTTCAACCGTTGTTTTGTCATCGAATCGGTGTCCTTTGAGTGGTTTTTTTAGTTTTGGAAACAGCCAAAAGTCACAAGGGGCTATGTCGGGACTGTATGGAGGTTGTCGAAGCAATGCGATATTTTGTTTGCTCAAAAACTGGTGCACAAGATTGGATGAATGCGCTGGCGCATTATCGTGATGGAGAAGCCAGTCACCACATTCCCAAAAGTGCGTCCGTTTTCTTCTTACTGCATCACGCAAAGTTTCAAAATTTGAACGTAGTATTCTTTATTGATTGTCTGACCTGTTGGTGCATATTTGTGTTGTACAACACCTTCACAATCGAAAAAAACAATCAACATTGACTTAACATTGCTCCAACTTTGACGTGCTTTTTTTGGCCTTGGTGATTCAGAATGCTTCCACTGTGAAGATTGTTGTTTTGTTTCAGGACCATAAACCCATGATTCATCACCTGTAATAACTTTTCTAAGCACATTATCATCATTATTGACCATTTCCAAATTGTCCAGGACGATTTCTAAGCGAATGTTCTTCTGCTCTGCTGTGAGCAATTTTGGGATGAATTACGCACACACGCGTTTCATTCCTAAATTTTCGGTTAAAATTTCTGAAATGATTGTTTTTGGTATCCCAAGGTCTTTTTCTAGTTCTCGCACAGTCATACGACGATCTTGTTCGATTGCAAGTCGCACCCGCTCAATATTATCTGCGGTCTTTGTCGTCGAAGGTCGGCCGGAACGAGAATCACTATCGACAGAAGTGCGACCATCCTTGAACCGTTTATAACACTCTTTTATTCGTGTTTTGCTCATACACTCGCTTCCAAAGGCCTTTTGCATCATTTCAATAGTTTCCGAACTCGTTTTTCCGAGTTGAAAGCAAAATTTGATGCAAATTCGTTGATCTTGTTTTTCAGTCATTTTTGACAATATCAAAATCCGTCGAACGCGAAAAAGGCACTGTAAACAAAGACACGCTGCGTATGAACTATACGTCCGGCAGGTGTCAGTAAGTAACCAATAGATTCGTGAGGCTTTACTATTGACGTTTCTGTCCGGTAGAGGTCGCTCGAACACTATGGCGCAAAGATATAAACGTAGGCCCGATACTTTTCAGACAGACCTTGTACTGATTATATTTCAATCGAAGTACAGTAACGATAAAATTAACGTTATTCAGCAACATTCGTGCATTAAAGCAGCCGTTACAAACAATGAATTACATTGTTTGTAAAACTATTTGTGGGTATGAATTAAGAGCAGGAAATTCCAACATCAGCGCAAGCACAAACTTTTATCGTGATCCAAATTCTACCGAGAGAGAGATGAGCCTTGTCTCGCCGACAAGGTGGCGGCGCATTAACAATGCGGCAATGGATTTGCAATTCAGCGGCGCCTCGACACAAATCAACGTCTTGGACTCCCGCGAATGCGGGCGCGGCGTAAATTTGAGATATATGCAGATTTTACCGTTATAATTTCTTGTGCAGTAACGCGTACCTTCTTGATCCTTACGGCGCTTTGTGATTTACGCTTAGCAAACATTCAGAGTATAGTTTAGCCTTGCGCTTGCTGTGATATTAATTTGTTGAAGGCAAATTTATTATGATTCATAATTAAATTCGCGGATTGTGAATAGACTCAGGTAATCTAATATTATGCCGAAAAATGAACAGAAAAATAAATAAACATTCCACCGCGAT